AGAGGGTTAGAGGGTTGGGGTACCCTGATTGTATTAGTAGCGGTCTGTGTGTATTGTTCCATCACATCGTACTTTAATCGGGCATGGATGCCTGTAGGAAAGGTATGGCTGTGGGTAATATGGACTCATGTAGAACTGTAGAATGTACAGTACGTTTTCTATCCTTTCAGCTTGTGATTGTAAGTAAAGGACGGTATTCAGTCAGAGACTCAGAGAGCGTATATATCTGGGCGTTCTTTCTAATTAATTAGGCATTCATGACCAATATCTGAGTTATTTTGTTCGTTTACCAAAGCAATCAGTGTAACATTGTTGTTCCCCTATTAAATTGTGATATTTTTGTGAAAAATAGGAATAATATATAAAAACTACTAGTTATGACGTCTATGAGCAGCGTGACTGATATTCAAGCTGAGATCAAAAGATGATATTTTTCTTTAAGTAGCATGACTAATGTTTTAAAATGCGGATGATGAAGTCTCTGAGGAGCAAGACTGATGATTCGAGGTATGAGGATGATGATGTATTATTCCTGCATTGCTTTTATGCATATGTCATGTCAGATGGCTTAACTCCTCCTGATTGACTGTGGTACAGGGTGGTAATACAAAGACAAGATTCTTTTTAAATGGTACTACACAGTTCCCAGCAATACAGTTGATTTGTAGCACACCACAATCACAGATGTTTCGCATCTGTACATTTGTGTGTTGCGGTATGCTACAATAAAAAAAAAAGGCTGTATATTCGTTTTCATTACCCATTCACTCCCATGTGATTTCATGCATGGGTTTTAATTCCTGTTAAAACATGTGCAGAGGTTTGCTATGGTTTTTATGGTGCTAGTACATATACAGTAGGCAGTGTGTTGACCAGCAAGGGCCAATAAAGATCCTGTTTCGTTTTCATCTTTCAATGCACATTATAAGGACTTTGGTAAGGAATGGTAAGGCATGTCAGTAAATCATAAAAGTCTTCAAAAATGCATCTAAAAAATGATTTGAAACACAAACGTGTTAGCGTGAATCCAGTTTATTGTGGAGCTTTGGCTGCTGAAACAAAGTGAATGGCATGCTTAATACAATGCATGTTAAATACTTATTACCGTACATACTATATTCTTTGGGTGTGGGATATAAGGAAGACTTATTTATTTGTAAAAGTTTAAACAAAAGCCAAAGTAAAACACATAGGAGTTGATTTACTAAACCTGGGGACGGCAATATCTGATGCAGGTCTGCATAGAAACCAATCAGCTTCCAGGTTTTCTTGTCAAAGCTTAATTGAACAAGCTGAAGTTAAAAGCTGTGCATGCAGATTTGATTAAAATGACCAATGCCTAAATTTAAGATTCTTGCTCCATTTTGGACCCACTATAGCTGGTGGTGCTTTATAGGGAACTGTATTTTTCAAAGTGCTTCAAAAACTCGGTTGAATGTCAAAGTTGCAGAAATACATATTGAATATTTATAATGTTATCATGAATGCTATGCAACCTCAACTGAATCTACCCTAAAGGAAATACATGTCTAAATATTAATTTAATAAGCATGTTTGCAACCATTGTTTGCCATATTCAAAGAGAAAAACAGCTTTTATCGTTGAAAGGCATCTCAGGTGAATGAGTGAAAATAAATGGAAAATGTTAGCTAAATGTTGTGATATTTGTAAAAATGAATTTGAACAGTGGGACAAAGCAAGAATCCTGTAGAAGAATAATTGCAGTACAGTTTATAAATATAGATGACTAAAATAAACTGACAATAATCAATGCGTCTGTTTAGGCTTTGTAATTAGGTATTCATTAATATAATACGTTTCTAAATTCTCTTGACTTCTTTACTTCACAGGGCATAAGAGAGGATGTGAATTACTCATTTCCTATCCAGATCTGTGATGTCCCTTGCAGTAAGTTTCTGTTACATTAATTTATTAGAAAAATAAGCTCCAACTGGGTGTTGATTTTTGAAAGCCACCTCGAAATGCTCCCGTAATATACAAGCTCTTGAAAATTCATACAATGCTCCTTCCCGGTGGTATTTCATGCCAGTGCGCATTGCTAAATACATTCCTAACTATAAGTTCTCCTGCTTTTGGGGCTGTGGGGCCGGGTTGTGGCCTCAATATGGTCTTGTCCTGTGGTGTGTCACCTATGGATAAGAGTGTAGAACATAATCCATTCACTAACGCAAATTAACATCCGGAAAAAACCCATGGGAAACTCTTCTTCACAAAAAAAAGATGTGCTTAGGCAGCCATGTACCTTAATCATTTTCATCTTTATGGCAACAAAGCAAATCATAGCCTCTGCCTGGAAATCCACAACCCTTAGCTTTGAGGAAATCAAATCCAGAATACAAGGTATTTTTATCAATGAAAAACTAACGGCGATATTAGAGGATATGTATGATAAATTCCCCTCAATATGGCAACCCTGGCTCGATTATCAGTTGGTCTCAGGCTTCACTACATGGTTCCTCTAACTATGATCCAGGGTCCAACGCTTTCCCATCCTGCCTCCCATTTTGCAGGAACAAGCTGACCTCTATGGCAAATTCCCCTTACCCTCCCCTTCTTTTTGTCTCTTTGCTAGTCTCATCCTCCTCTGTTTCTGGGGTCCTTTCCCCACTTCTTTTTCCTCCTTCACAGGCTGCTTACTTTACTACAACCCTCTGCTATGTGAGCCTTTTCTATGATACATGGTTGCCATTTTTCATACCAGATTAGCTTTTTGACTACTTATTGATGATGTTACAGCTATGGCTGTAAACTATGGGACAATGTTCATGACCTCTCGCATTTCATGTTCACCTTAATCTCCATGCTGATTTGGACAAATCTTAGTTTCGCACACTTTCACGCTACCTATTCACCTGTGCACCCTGTATGGGTATGTTGTATCTTTTTTCCGTTTGGAGTGTTATTTGATTTGAACTTCCGTATGTGACATACTGTTTCAATCAATAAAGTTTTTTGGTACTAGAAAAATAAGCTCCAAATAATGTTATAATAAGAACTTATACACATTTATTTGTTCTAAAAAAGGCATAACATTCACAGTTCTCTTTAGATACAGTATGTGCTAATTACAACCATTATTAACAATAAATAACTTATGGGCAGAATAAACATACTGTATGCACACATTCCAAAGATACTCATTTGGTAAGACTTGATGGAATTGAGCTTATTTCACATGGCCACTTCTGTCTACACTGGAACAGGGGCGGATACTGCATGTGACATGCCGCATATACAGTAGCTCAACATCCAATAAAGGCACAAAATGCCCAAGGGACCTTTCCAAGAAACTCCAAACAATGCTATATATAAAAATATATTAAACCCATAAGTTCTTTATTACAATAGCATAAAAATCACAATACAAATTATCAACACACACTTATAACAGTAATTTGGGTATTTCCATTTAGATAAATTATCAAAAGTTGAATAATAACAAACATCAGTAGGTAACTACACTACATCATTGACATTCATTTATTGAAAAACTTTTCTCAATGTGTGTTGTGAATCTTCGTTAACTTCAGCAGGATAATTGTTTTTTAACTGAAGAACTGTAGAAAAGAGTTACACCCACAGTTAAAGCAGAGACACTTTAAAATGGCCAATCTTACTGCCATAGATATACAGCATTTTTATCTTATATTTTATAATTTTTTATATCATTGTTTGCCATTTGGACTTGGAAAAGTCCCTTGGGCAATTTCTTTTATGTATTTTGTTACTGTTTGAAATGAGGAAATGCTGCCCTGTGCTTAAAACCACATGCAAATATACACTGTTCAATAAAAGCTGCTTGCATGAGAATAAAAATGGAGAGACCTTTGTAGGGCTGAAGTAAATGGAGTTGAGATGTGTTTTTATAAGGTCCCCTCTCCCATGTCAGTTACTTGGCTCCTCTCTGCAGGCACCACTTGCAGACCAAAATTTGGGATCACTCCTAGCATGCATCAAGTCACTATCATTCTTAGAAGTTTATTTTATTAAAATGGCGGAGTCGGCAGTGGCACAGCCCTGAAGGACCCTGGCTGTGTTCCTGTCAGATTAAACCTTAAAAAAGGCAGCATTGTGGTTTCAAGTCCACCTAATGTAAAAAAAATTACTCTATAATATTTTCCTCTCTGCAGCAGAGCTCTTCATGCAACTGGGACCAAGAGAAGGGGTCCAAGAGGGTGCCCTATATCACTTTCTACAGATACAAGGTGGTCCACTGGACTACAGTTTCAATGAACCCTAACCTACAAACTCACTCTGTGGGCAGGAAGTGTAGATAACAGCGGCAATGCTGATAAAACTTCCCTTCAACATGAACGGTATAATCATGCAGTCAAAGGACTTCAGTGACTGCATAAAATAACAACACTTCAGTGATTTCACTACAGGGTATTTAGCCTTGTCACACTGTAAGAGAAAGGCCCTTTCACTGACATGATCACTTGGTATTTAGTACATGGTATAATCATTGAACTACAAAAGAAATAATGCATAGAAATAAAGTATTCAATCATACATTGCATGCTGAAAAAGGAAGCCACCACACACTGGAAAGATCATTAACCACTTGCCCTCCAGAGGATTTACCCTCCTTCCTGACCAGGCCACTTTTTGGGTTACGGCGCTGCGTTACTTTAACTGATAATTGCGCGGTCATGCAATGCTGCACCAAAATTAAATTTATGTCCTTTTTTTCACCACGAATTGAGCTTTCTTTTGGGGGTATCTGATCGCCTGTGCGTTTTTTTTTTTTTTTTTGCGTTATAAAAGAAAAAAAAGGCCAACAACTTTAAGAAATAAACAATGTTTTTGACTTTTTGCTATTAAACATGTCCAGTAAAAAAATTAACAAATCACATTTCGGCATAAATTTCAGCCAAAATGTATTCTGCTACATGTCTTTGCTAAAAAAAAAATCCCAATATATGTAAATTAAATGGTTTTTGTGAAAGTTTTAGCGTTTACTAATGGCAGTATAGACTGCGGGACTACAGCCGGCATTCTGACACTGGGGGGAACTGATGTGGTATCACTAACATCCCCAGTGACACCAATACAATGAACAGTGCTAAAAAAAAGCATTGACACTGTACTAAGGGCACTGGGCAGGAAGGGGTTAACATGAGGGGTGATCAAAGGGTTAACTGTGTGCTGGGAGTGTTTTACTTGTGTCTGTGTGTCTGTGCTTCACTGTAATCACACTGATTTGCATGACTCTGCCGTGCACAGCCATCCAAAGCAGTGTGCACGAGCTGACAGGGAGGAGAACTGTATTGTTTACATACAGTTCTCCTCCCTTCGGAGATGCTTGGAAATCACCGCGTGCCAGCGAGTAATCATCAGCCGGGACCTGGTGATTGACAGCCGCAGCCATGAATGGTGGTGCAGGTGGGGCCCGTGCGCCCCCTACCCGGAAATGCAAAATCTTGTACATATACATGATTTTGCGCACCCGTGCCGGCCTGTAGCAGTATATCTGCTATAGGGTGGTCGGGAAGCAGATAATGTTTACATTATTGCATAGGATATCCACAAGCATGACTTTGACAGTCCGCGTCTTAGTACCGCATCACCCAATAGGGCTTAGTCGTAGAGCATCTACTGGGGGCAATAGTGGAGAGTTCTAGGTCAGGGACTGTCAAACCATGCTTGTGCATATTCCATGCAATAAATGTGAACATTAGTAATCCCTCCAGTATATGATGGCTGTCTTTTTCAGAAACTAGTCTGTGAGCTGGGATGGTTTGTAGAGCCCCCAGCACTGGCCTTCAAGTGGCTGTGGAGTGGAGCAGCTTGGAGCATAGAATGCTGAATTGAATGCTGTTTTAAGCATTCAAATTGTACAATATTACACTTTTTATATTGGTCTATAGCTCTGCTTAGGCGTAAGCAATAATTACTTTGTGCTCCATTAAGAGAGGCGCTCCCTTTGATAGTGATCTTTAAAGAACCCTGTAAATCACTATCTGTGCATATAAAAGGCACTAGTAGGGTGTTGTACCATGTAAACCATTGAATAATGCAAAACATTTGGAGTTTAAGCAATACTCAAGCTTTCAAGATAATTGAAGTATACACATTAAAAAAAATAACTATTTTTCCTTAAAATACTTTAATAGTAAAGGCTATTGTAAGAGATAAGAGATCAGAGTTTAAAGGTTTTACTGAGAGAAATGTCTCAGAGGAACGAATTCCAGGCACAAAAGTTCATTTCTTCACCTTGTAACTTTGTGTAGAGATATGTGGGTTTCAGAACCATTTCTCAGAAATTTATAAGGTCTGAAAAAAAGATCTAAATTATTCCAAGTGCATCTTTAATAACTTAAGTTAGCCAGTAAAGGCTATCACTACAAATTTTATACATATAAAAAAGCATAAGTTTGTATTTAAAAAAAAAAACCTTCGACCTGTTTATAGCAGCCATTTTTCCTTTGGCTCTAAAGGTTTGTTCACACAGTGCGCTTTATTGTGGAAATAACTCACTTGCGATGGTGTGAATGTGTGCTTCCTAGTGCTGCAATGCATTGCTAACATTGATTGTTTATTTATTTTTATGTCTTTTTAGAATTAATTAAAATGCTGCTTTGTATTTTGTTCTTTTTTTATGCTTTGCTAAAATTAATTACGCTTCTTTTTTTGCCTTTTTTTTGCAAACTTCTGTGCAATTATATGCACTTTAGTGCACTGTGGGTTAGAATGAACTGCGCAAAAAATGCAATATGTCCTATTTTGTTTTTTAGTGAACACCAGTACAGCGCATTGGCATGAACTGAAACCATAGGACATAAGGCAAATTACGTTGTGCTTGCATTGCAACTGCAAACCCTGCTGGTGCGAACGAGCTCGAGGTTTCATCTGCACACATAGGAATTATATATTTTTTTCATAACATAAAATAAGTGCAGCGCTAAAAGTAGTGATAATACAGATATAAGTCCACTGAAAGTCTTGGTCATATGTACGTGTCCAGTGACAAATGAGGATTCAGAATTGGTGGTCCGTGTGGAAACGGCTGAAAAACGCACTCACCAGAAGTAAGGACACATAAACGCAGTGTGCATCTAGAGCTCATAGATCCTCAATCCAGAAGGGGATAAAGCTGGTCCGGTTACAGGAATGGTGGATCCCTCCTCTGTGGATGCAGAAACAGATCCTTCTTTTCCCAATTAGGTGTAGGATTCCAAGATCAAGATTCTGCAAGCAAAAGCTCCTCAGGGGAGTTTTTAGGGAAGGACACCCATAGTGTAGTAGGTTATAAAAAGCAGCTTTATTAAAAAATATAGTATCCAATTCAAAGTAGGCAGGTATCATAAAGATGTGTCAGCAAGACAAACTAACCCTGACACTCTGAATAATGGCCGCCGGGCCTCCACGTGGCTCCGGCGGCGTAGCGTCTCGACGTCCAGGCTCCTCCTTACGCGTTACGTGCGCACGCACATCTTCAGAGGTATGGAACCATTGGCGTGATGACGCGAATAGGCGCATATAAATAGGCATAATGACGCATGCGCGGTTACGTATGCGCCAGTGTGCAATAACTAAGGCGCATGTGCGTGGCTCCGTCTTCCATTTTAATGGAGCTCAAAGACACAGGATAGAAGGGCAACAATGCCCTATAATAGACAGATGAATGTCAATGAAGACAAGTTCAACAATGGTGTGAAATACACCTATTTGAAAGACAATCTGATTCAGATCTATATAAAAAATATAAAATAGGCGCGATAGCGCCAATGTGTTGAACTTATTTCCAATTAAATAGTATAATTTGAGTAAGTGTATATACATGCGTCATTATATCTTTGCAAGTTAAAATTTATCAACATTCAAAAAGACATCATATGTATAAAAGTTATGTGCCAGAAAAAAGTTCTCAGAGGATAAAAACTAAAATAAAATAAAAAGACTGCCAGAACTAAATCTGCACCAACCTCAAAACAAAGGACACATGTGAGAATTAGAGATGATGCGAAGTATTCAAAAATTCGATTCGACTGATTCGGCGAAATTCGTGGACAATATTCGATTCGAGTCGAATATATTCGCTGTGAATTTAACTTAAAAAAGGGTGTTTCTAGGCTTCAGAGAGACTTAATATTAGTGCAGAACACTGTACCATTTAATTTAAATTGCCCTTGTTAGTCTGCTGGGGAAGAGAAATAATTCTGTCAGTCAGTATGACATGCAGATGAGTGCCGTCGATCTTAGAATCACCGGCAACACTTCACTCATTTGGCCAGTCACGGGGGCCAAAACCAGTGTTTGGAGCCACAGTGTGGCGGATGGAGGCAGCAGCAATGGGAGGCCATACAGCAACCTATGACAAAATGGAAACCAGCAGGAGTGTGAGGAGACCTCAAAGTGGCACATGGCCAGAGTGGAAGCAATGGGAGGCGGTACAGGGACCCATGTCACACTGTGGACCCAGCAGCAGCGTGACCAGCCGGTACGGGGGCCCATGGCAGATTACAGGCCTGGCAGCAGCAATGGGAGGCCCGTAATCTGTCAGCACCCTATGACAAAAAATGGAACACACCAGCAGTGTGTGAGGAGAGACCCGAAAGTGGCACCATGGCAGATCAGAGTTGTGGCTATGGATGCGACCGCGAGCAATGGGAGGCCCGTAAGGGACACCCATGACAGACTCTGACCTGGAAGCAGCATGAGGCGGCGGTAATAGGGGGCCCATGGCAGATTAGGGCCTGGGCAGCAGCTATGGGAGGCCCGTAATCTGCCAGCCCCTATGTCAAAAAAAATTTTAACACACCCGCATGTGGAGGGAACCCGAAAGTGGGACCCTGGCAGAGTGGGGCGATGGAGGGGGCAGGGGGGGCAGGGGCAGGGGAGGGGCGGGGGGGA